CGATTCTTGAACTTTTCGTGACTTGATTCACAAGGGATCCGGCCTTTGGAACCCGATCTTTCTATAGCTAACGATTGATTGAGATAGCTGCTGGACTTATTGCCTGATCCGTAATTGGACATATTGAATTAAATTGTGGGAATTGTATCTCTGAACCTCTGCCTACATAAATAAATTTTCAAGCATTCACAATTGTGTTTCATTTCATAGTTCTAACCACTCAAAGTTGTAACGCTAAATATTGATGACCCTGTATATTGACGTTATTTGTACTACCTACAGAAGCACTTCCTAAAAAACACGGGGGTTGAAGAGTAAATGTTGACTTTCGGTTGCCATGTTTTGATTGTTTTCATAACTTAGAAGATGAGCAGTGCAGTAGAGGTGTAGGTTTGTGAGTTAGAACCTTTATGGGGCCCAGCAAGTTAAGTTATCTGTAGAACATCAATCAGCTAAAGAATCAGTGTGGTGCGTACTCTCTCTAAAAGGCAAGGATAGCCTCCTCACCGAATAACTCCTCTGATAATGATAATACTGATCAGCCTTTTACCGAGCATGACTTTCAGCTGGTCGCATTCGTTGATCGTTCCGTAGAAGCGTGAACACGACTAACTTCAAGGGACTAAAGTCGGACCTAAAATTTTTTAATTTCCCCTGAGTGTTTTCTACGGGACATATCAATTAAGCTGCTCTCTAATATACATTTCAGCGAAATTACTGACATCATTTGCATGAGAACATAGGAAGTGGCAAATCCTGTTCATCGTCGTACGTACGTGCCTGCAGCATTGAGCTTATACTGAATACGATAATGTGTTTCGTTTCTGCTGGCTGATTTGGAATACCAGATGTTGCACGACTTCGGGTCTCCGCGGTTCAATTCTGAAAACTCATCTTAGACGGTGATTTTGAGCCTTTTTTTGCACTCAAGGTAGCCGACACTGTAGGCGTCAAATGATCACCAGTGGAACAATTTCAAATGAGGTCGTCAACGTTGCAAGCTAGCGGGAGTAACTTCAAGAATGAAGGTTGAAATATGAAATCGGCATTTGTAGTTTTATTTACTTATTCAATAAAAATTTATGAACACGATGTTAATATGAATTGGTGGAGGAACGTATTCATCCACCTTTCGTTATGTGGTCCTTCTTACACCTGTTGCTGCCGAAAGCCTTGGGACTAATTTATTGCGTAACCGAGGAGGGATGGGAAAACTACGACACAAGTCTCAAATAGTTTAAATAAAATATTAAGAACAAATTGAAGATTACAAATTAAAGATTACTACAATCCGAACAATTGCAAAATGAGAATTATTACTAGTGCCTGATGGATAAGTGTCAAGAAATTTGTTCTTCAGTGTTCAACTAAATTGCATGTTTTCTACCTAACCTACATGAATGAGAACAACAAAAAGAATTATTTTAAAAATTCTTGTACATCAGGTTTTGTCTACGTTTTAGTAAACCTTTGAATGTTCTTTTCTTAATTTTCTTATTCGTTGCCTTGACTTCCTCAATTCTGTTTTATATTACTGGACACAAGCCGTCAACTTGCAGTAACAGGTGCCGTACTGTGTTGTAAGAGCCGCACTTGTGAACGTGAGCGCCATAACTTCATAGTAATTGATCCATGAAAAACTTCTAAATTTGTAATAAATAGCGACAATACCTAACCACGTTCGATTTTGAGTTCGATAGAGTGAGTATCCTTGAGATTATTATTATTTTCAATGATGCCGTTAATACAAATTTAGTGGCGTTCTTTAAGATGAAGAGATGAAATGAAAAAATATTGATTTCGTGGAGTAACTTGGAAAAAATATTTCGACAGTTCAGTTTTTAAAATGGGTTTAGAAACTTTTTTTAGTTTAGTTAGCTTTAAAAGATCTAATACATTCTTCACTCAGCTAAGTCATGATATGAAGTTATTCTTATCTCGATATCACTGCCACAATGATAATTTTACATCTAGCACCTTAGCAGGTGATTTAATAGTGTTGTATATATAAAACAAGAACAACAATTTAAGATAGTTAGATTTCTTGAATTTTCCATTAACGGAAAATTTGCAAATAAATAATGTGCCGAAAAAATCTGTCGTATTTACTTCGAAAACGGTTTAGAAACCGGCACCAGTTCAAAATTTCCTCATTACTAATTACTGGTATAATCACTTGAGAGACAATATTTAATGGTAAATCATTTGAGAGACTAAAGTTGGAGATAAAAGCCTAAATGTATCAAAAACAGGAGACGTAACGTAAAAACCTATCTCTCAACAACTGTGAGCGGATAAGTACAGCAAGCATTGTTTAGACAAGGTTTCCGCTTAGGAAATATAAACAGATTTCATTATCCTAAAATCTGAAGCACGTGTAGGGGCAGACTGCGTTCAATTAATCACAGTGTTAATGATTTTTGGATCCATTTATATTGCGTATCTCAATCAGTTTTCCAATGAAAATATTTTTAACGTTATTGGCATTTTTTTAGTTACCAGTATTTAGCACATAAATAAAATAATATGTGCAAGCTTTGCCACCGAGATGTCTCGGTTGCACTATGCTACGAGCCAGTCATACCCAACGTACGCCTACACTTATCCGGTGTCGGGTGCTTATCATGTTGTTCTAGCCAATACTACTTACATGTTTCTTGCATCATTTCCCAAATTTTTTCTATACCTCATTTTTAAAATATTTATTTTTTGTCCTTCATGTGATAAGTCGTTGAAATAACTTTAATTATGTGTGTGTAATGTATGAATATATTAAAATTTAAATTATAATTTCAGGATAATGAAGTTTAATTTATTTTTAATACATTGATAACGGCACCAGAGAAATATAAAACGCAGGTTCAGAGATTTACAAAATGCGCCAACGGCAAAATAACATCAGCCCCCAAACGATATCAAAGTGAAATCTTGTAAGTACTAGTGCTCGAATGCCTCCTTCGTAACTGCACCCTCCAAATTCATACCATGCTGCACATCTTCATAATAATACCCGATGCGGACCATATACAAGAAGGTTATATGTTTTACATTGAAAATAAATCCCACACAGAATTTCGAGGAGAGCTTGAGCAATGGGGCGACTTGAGGCATATAGTACGCATCTGCGTCTCTTGCTCTTGGCTGAGGCAGTGAGAGTAAAACCAGCGTCAGGAGCAGACCAGGCTAAGGCCTGGTCCGCAATTATTGTTACTGAAGACCAATTACTTGAAAAAATGCTTTGAGTGCAGTGATGTATACACAATTCAAATCGATTGTGAAACGAAAGACATTCACAGAACTTGCAATAGTTACTAGAAATTTTGACAACCGGGCGGGATTAAAGATCCTATTATAGAATAGAAGAAAAGTGTCGAAATAATAGAAGAAATAGGCCCATGGCCTATTGCCGATTCTTGAACTTTTCGTGACTTGATTCACAAGGGATCCGGCCTTTGGAACCCGATCTTTCCATAGCTGACGATTATTTGAGATAGCTGCTAGACTTATTGCCTGGTCCGTAAGGTGTATTGTCAGTCAGTAGTGCCCCCGAGGTATAGAAAATACACAGAAACTCATGCTTTTCCTAGTATATTGGGCGAAATTTCAAACCAAAATATGTATATTTGATATTACAGGTGTTTTAATTTACTTTCTGCTAGATGGGCCGTTACGTTGAAACTTTTGAGATCGTGCTTCAGAGCTTTTATAAGGGCTATACACGGCACGGCTAAAATAGGCCTACGGTCGCAAATCTGATCTATTCACACGCAAAAAATATCATTTACACGCGGCGTTTAAGATAACGGAAACTTATTGCATCATTTATAGAAGCAATGGTCATGTGTCATTTCCTGAACGTGGGAGCGCGGGAGCTAATGACGCAGTCTCCCGCCTCACAATATAAGCCCAGAGCTCATAACGTGTGAACACAGTATACATGGCAGTGTTGCACAGGCAGCATCGCAAGACGCATTTATCGCAAGACGCACTGTTGCCATTAATTATATAGGCAGTGTTTCACAGGCAGCATCGCAAGACGCATTGTTGCCATTAATTATATAGGCAGTGTTCCACAGGCAGCATCGCAAGACGCATTCTTGCCATTAATTATATAGGCAGTGTTGCACAGACATCATCGCAAGACGCATTGTTGCCATTAATTATATAGGCAGTGTTGCACAGGCAGCATCGCAAGACGCATTCTTGCCATTAATTATATAGGCAGTGTTTCACAGGCAGCATCGCAAGACCCATTCTTGCCATTAATTATATAGGCAGTGTTTTACAGACAGCATCGCAAGACGCATTGTTGCCATTAATTATATAGACAGTGTTTCACAGGCAGCATCGCAAGACGCATTCTTGCGAATTATTATACGAAACTTCTACGACAATTATCATTCCGTTCGCAACAAAAGTTTAGATCGATAGCTGACGATTTCATTCCTCTAAATATTCGTAGCGGATGACCCCAATTTTATAGCGCTAATAGAAAAATAATATACATTTAAAAATTAATTTTTAAAGACAACACTTCTAAAAAATCCAGTGTCTCCAAAGTAAAACATTTACAATGAATTTCTAATTTTAATTTCATATATTAAAAAAATCAATTTTTTAATTATTTCAATACACTAAAGAAATTAAATTTTCAAAATTATTTATTCTGTCAATCGATTCATGCATTGTCTCTGACTTTACGCAAGTTTGCAAAATTTCAGATAGATTGGACACCTAGAAGTGTATTAAATATCGATTATAAGATTTGTAGCAGACAATTATTTTGTAAATTTTTTTAATACTATTAAAAAATTATTTTTAAAATTATTTATTCTGTCAATTGATTCATGCATTGTCTCCAACTTTACGAAAGTGTGCCAAATTTCAGATCGATTGGAGAAGTAGAAGTGTGTTAAAAATTGATTATAAGATTTGTAGCAGACAGACAAACAAGAAGTGAAGTTTAAGAGAAGTGTTGTAATAATAAATATTTATTTCAGATGGTGAAGGTCTCTGCAAAAAATCAATAAATCTCAATTCTGAACATTATTGAAAGAGTGAAATGTTATTGTACGGCTCCTGGAAGTGCGTAGCGGCACTCTGCCTCCTGGCAGTCGCAGGGACAGCGGCAGCGCAGGACCGACGTAAGTGTTACGCTCAGTCTGGAGTTGACGTCTGCAATAATGACTCGTAGAATTGATGTGCCATTATAAACTGCTTACAACATGGAGACAAGGAAAGATTTTGTTCTATTTTTTAGACAAGGAATTCCGCTTTTTGTTCTGCAATACACATGATTTTATTTCTTTTTTACCACAATCATTTTATGGATACCATAAAATTACTGTATGAGCCTTACACAAGGAATATACTGTAAAAATGTTTCACTGAAGCGTAACGTCTTTTTCCGTCACTTCACTCAACCCAGTAGGGGTAGTTAGTCATGACCCTTGGACGGAATCTACAGAATATAATTTATTTATGGCAGTTTTTGGAGTAAGATGCACTGCACTAAGATTCGTGTTCATCTCCATGAACGAAATTTGTTAAATTCAATATTCGTACATCAAAGACTGTTATCGATTTTTAGAAATGCTATACTGCAGATAAAAAGAAGCAGTTAACCAAAAAATGAAGTACAATTTAAGATATACAAAAGTTGTGTTCAATACATTAATACAATGGTCGCTGGTTTTGTATGTACTCGTTCTTTGAGTTCCAATATTGCCAGACACGTACGGTTCTAACTGAACGACCATTTTTGACGGATGAAAACGAAATTTTCTGATGAAGTCTGACTTTTCCGGAGTAAATCAATTTATCTTTATTAGTCCACAGAATCTCAAACCGAATACAAAACTTATTGTTTTTAATTTCTCGAAGGCCATGTCGTTCTTTAAAGGACCGAAGTATTTAATCGATAGGTCGACAGCGCGTAAATTAAATGAGACTGATCTCCCAGTTGTGCCTTAAAATTGTTTCTGATGCAAAGAATAACCGGAAGTCCTGAACAATTACTTATGGTAGATTTTGGGTTTCATAGTTCCAGTCGTTTAGGACCATCGGTTATATAGCCATCGCTAGACCGATGGCTCGAACTACGTAGTAACGTGGTTGTCGCGTGCATATCAAGTAAATATCCAATAAAACAGCATATTAAATAAGCACAGCTTAATCCATCACCTCAAAGCCGCATGCTTTTGTTCCAGATGAGATGATGTCGGGAATTACTAGCGGCGTGGTGTCGCAGTCCATGCAGGGCCGGCGGAGGCGACCTGTGCAAGCTCCAGTCGCGACGTCGCGCGTCTTCATGCCAGACGTTTTACCATTCGTGGAAACATCAAGGGATAACCAAAACGAGATTGAATCTCGTGACAACAGGCGGGGCATGCCAGACGTCTTACCATTCGTGGAAACATCAAGGGATAACCAAAACGAGATTGCTCCTGCTGACAACAGGCGGGGCTACTACGCGCAACCTCCAAACGCACGAGAAGATATTGACCCGAAAATTGACCCACGGAATAGCATCGTGGAGAGCAATGACAACAAGGACGTGGTGCTGAATATGAATGAGGTAAAATTACAAAAAGAATTTACTCCATGGTGCGCTAAATAGTTAAAAACAGTACTAGCCTGGAAATTGATCGAAATAAAACAAAAGTCGTCTGCATATGTGAATGGTCTTAGAAATCTTAGCCTATACTGAACTAACAGGGCTTAGGCACAGTAGAATGACTCTTTACATTTTATTATTTTATTTGTTTACCATCAAACTCATTAATGACATATCCCATACAACTTATCTCATATCTCTCAACTTCTTTATCACTTTTGGTCGTGTTACGCTGTTTCAGGATATTATTTCGATGCTTCGTGTCAGGTAATGCACAATATAAGTACCCACGAGTGTCGCTCTAAAGATGTGTCTTCGTGAATTATTCGAGCCGATTTTCCTCTCCCTATGATTCATCCAGCTGCATTTGCTCCCATATGTGAAAATAGTAACTTTTTACAGTTCATTACCATACTTTTGCCCTGTATCTGAAACTATATCAAAATAATTGATAGTTTTATTCAAGTAATACCTTGCAAATATCAATCTTTGGTTATTAAAGGTGAATAATTTTAAGATCAGCTCTGTCTTCAGTTATACTAGCACTCTCCCCAAATTGATGCGATCGTCTTTACAAATACACAAATACAATGCACAGTTTACAAATATATACACATGCGCAATGCGCGACAGCACAGCGGCATGACGCCACGCAACTTTTATTCGAGACTGGCGGAGCATAAAGGGAGGAGTTATTAAACAGAAAACGCACATCCTCCTCATTTTAACTGTACGAGTTCATTCCAAGCAGTATGGTGTCCCAGTCTTTAGAATTTTCCGAAACCCGTCTTTCTGACTTACGAATCACAGAATATATATTTATTTTCTCAAACAAAACCTGGTTTAAATCCCTGCACTCAGCTCTCATCCTTTTGAGATTTTGCAAATATATAGACCAGTTTCTTGTGGTTTCTTCAAGTTAATTTGTCTTTTATTTGTCGATTTAGGTTTCAATGTCTGCCTGCGAAATTTCGATTACTGATTGATTGTAGTTATATTCTAGGCTTGCCGAACTGACGACGGTATTGGACTCCGAAATGTTTTCTTTTCCATATATACCGTAAAATTTTGCGCCAACTTATCAATTTCAAATTCATATGTTTTTGCTTCAGTCGTGCGTAAGTCTTAGTTACCGTTTACTTCTTCCCAGCTGTCCATGGATACTCAGCTGTTGATGAGCGAAGCCAAAACAGTGGAAGAGTTCGCCCGCATCATGGGATTTGAACTTCCTCCTACCAACGTCAACGTGGCAGCATCATCCTCCGGCATCGCTGCGAGATTTGGAGGCTCTAGCGATGATGGTGAGCAGCATGGTTGAACTAGTATAAGGTTGACCCATCAGAAGCCCATTTTTGCGGCTGTAGTTCGTTGTTCGCCTGTGACGTCACTGATCTCAGTGACGTCATGGGCATTGACCAATTACCTAAACGCGATCAAACCAGTCAATCAATCCTTCATGGGAATGACGGGTTTGTTTACATTTCTCGATCTACGTGACGTAACGAGAAAGCTGAACTGAAAGACGGAACTTCTCGTGGGTCAACCTTATATAGTTCAACCATGGTGAGCAGCATGATATGCTGTCCAATGACTGCCATGATTGCATGCTTGCGTGACAGGGGCTCATTCTAAGCTCCACTGCGTATATTCTGTGTAAAGCATATACAGCACGATACATACACATCTTGGGATGCTTCATGTGACACGGGAACACCGAGTGTGTGACGCACGCTGTCCTGCAGCTCGGAGGTTACCTCTGTTGTCAAGTGGAGATTCAATCTAGATCGTCTTCAATGATTCCACTGATATGTGGAGGAGGCACATTAATTATGTAAAGAAAGGAAGTTTACGGTACTAAAAAACTGAAGAATCGCAAAAAATTGCTTTAAATCTGTGCCAAATTGACAGCAAATTTTGCCGCACAATTTCTCTTTTTCTCGTGTTTCTCTGTTTTTCATGAAAATAAAATAGCGTATGTTTAAACTCTTTAACATTAGAAGGCATATCGAGAAACGCTATAAATGATTGAACCTCCGTTTTGGCAAACTTGTCTGTTATTCAAGCCAAATTCACTTCACATTACTGCATGATCATATTACTGCGCACGCAAACAGATTATCATTCTAAACGAACAATTTGAAATTAAGGACCAAAACTTGCAGCCTATCGACAGATAAGTATACGCCTAATAGATAAATATACGCCTAATAGATAAATATACGCCTAATAGATAAATATACGCCTAATAGATAAATATACGCCTAATAGATAAATTGATGTATTAGTCATTGAGGGATCGTTTAGCACTTTCACAAATCACAATGATAAGAAAAACAGAGAGGTTCACAGGAACGTCCTCTTTCGACAACCGCGACACAAGTTATCCGCCGTAATTTCTACTAACAAGTACCTAGCAGCTGAGAGCAGAGCGACCTAAATGCGACATCGCAAACTTCAGACGAACCGTTGTTGCGGATTCTCACAAATTAACAAAATCGAGATTTTCGAAGAAAATTCCAAATTTGAAATGTGATATTGAGGATTGCAGTCAGGCGATGCTGGGCAACATCCAACAATTTGTTAGATGTAAAGTACTTCTAGTCTGACGGTCAACCATAAAAGCAGATAATTGGGTCCCAATCGAGTAGATGTAAATTCAAAATAGTCTTCGAAGTGGTACTAAGAATGAACTAAATATATTTTTCGACATGATTTCTATTTGTATCCTCACTCTTATAGGGATGAGCAGAGCAAGTGCAGCGATAAAAACCAAACTCATTACTGGAGCGAAAAGGACTGCGCATGCTACTGCTATACCGACGAGACCTGCAGCACTGGCCAACGATACGATCACAATCTCTGCAGGTGAGACCAGGAGGAGTTCCGTCTGCGGGAATTATAACTATAAATCTCTAGGTGAGAGGAAGAAGGATAATGCCTACAGAATTGACCCCTTGTAGTATCTCCACGACGGCGAAGCTGAACAGAAAATCTAAAAGTTTGACGAAGAAGGGTACAGTCTACCTGACAATAGTTCACTCTTGTAGGTGAGACTGTGAGAATAGAACTATTCACGACAGTTGATTCCACCTGTAGAACGGGTTATAGGTGGGACTAACTGCGGGGCCTGGTGGTTCCAGAAGATCTCTGGGAAATGATCTCATTTGCGGCAGCCATAATTAGCAATTTCAGTTCTGATAGTACCTACAACCCCAATAAATTTCAGTCCATGGCAGAATTTCACTTAGACAATGCAGTTATCTAGAATGCGTTCGAAACATAAATTCGATGGTCATTCATATTCTTTCAAAAAGTCATTCATATTCTTTCAGAGGGCATTCATATTCTTTCAAAAATTTGTAGGTAATGAATGGTCAAAAGAAAAGCAACACGTTTTTTGAGAAGGAATGCTGAACTCGAGTTGAATTGAAGATATATATTTGTTCTTTTTTTATTGGATGAACTTATTTTTTGGCCTCGTTAACATCAGGTACGAAGATTTTGAGAAGATGATCATGGTTAATGAAGATGGTGATCTAACCTCTGTGATTTAAATTTATTTTTTTACTTATTCTTACATATTGCATCTAAAACTTCACGAAGCAAACATGGTTTTCAAACATAGTCCGACAGGATATATCGATTTTTGCATTGTATTTTATTCGGCCGAGACCTAAACATGTGCCACATATCTTTGTTAAACCTTTACGGAATCACGAGTATTTCTGTTCACAGTTGTACGAATGTGAACGTAGCGGCTCGATCAGGATTCTCTGAACTTCCATCGTCGGCTACCGGTGAGTCAAATCAGCACAGATTATCTAAAGTGACAATATCGAGAATAAATAAATCGACAGATGATTAAGGGATAATTCTAACCATAGTTATCAGACGAAAAAATTACAGATTCCATGCATGTTTACAAAGCTATCTCGGATACGATTAGCGATTATATGGCTGAGAATAACATAGGTTTGAATGCCAACATACAATCGTAACTTGGCTCGTGAGGTTTGACGTGTTATGAACACGTGGAAAATACAGTACATACTCTGACGACCCAACATCAGGGTGAATTATTCAGTTCGTGTAAAAATAAACATTGACAGTATTGCGTCGTGTGATGATAAATTTTTGACAAAGCACTAAAAATTACTATGAAAAACTTGGCTGTATCCATGATACAGCCAAATAAAGTTAACTAATATTTCCAGGTCTGGATCGCCGGCCTGCCACTCGAGTGCCCATCACGTTCGGAGGGTGAAGCGCGACGCTCGTTAACTTCCCTGCGGATTTGTTTTGTTCTGACCAACTTACAAATATAAGCAAATTATTTTCAGTCAACAACGCTTATAGCTTCTATGAGACCTGAATTGCAACATTAATTTCTATGATTAAATTCTGATGTCAAACACACTCGTGACAAACGAGTACTTTCTGGGCATCGATATTTTACAAATTTAGTACCTCAAATATTGCAATGAGTTTAGAGTGACGTATCAGTAAGCTAAATTTTTCATGGTTTTATCTATGAATAAGGAAATTGGTCGGCCGTGAGTATCGTTCAAAGCAGCTGGACACTTGGCTTCTAGTAATATATCCCAGCCGCAAGCAAAATAATGTTAATTGGAAGAATCATTTCTATAGAAGCGCTGACTCACCAATTATAAGATATATACTCATTGCCATAAAGGACTCATAAAAAACTACCATATCGAAACTCTTATAACTCTCACATTTTCTTTCACAATTTCCAATAATAGCCGTTGATTTTGCATGGACGGTCATCGTAAAACTAAAATTAGGTCGATATAGAGTTTTTTATTATTATAGACAAAAGATTTATATCATATTGACGTTTGCAGACGCCTTGCAATAAGTAAGAAATAACTCAACGATGAACTCGCAACATTAAGATTTTCATCAATTTTAACGCGAATTACGCAGACTTTCGTCAACAAAAGTTACACGAAGTCGGATTAGTCGGTATGCAAATTGTAGCGTTAAACTTAGGAATTTAAAATCATTATAT